TGTCTCATTCTTGTCCACTGAGTCCAGTTGTCTCACTTATGGAGCTGTGGCAGGTTTTATCTATGTATTCTGATAAACTATAAACTGATAACTATAAACTATCAGTTTATAGTTCTGATAACTATAAACTATCATATCTCTTAAAGAACTTTAAATGTACCCACACATCATATCTTAACTTGCAAACTGCTTGTGTGAAAGCGTATTCTAAAGTATAATACTAAAGAGAGCTTTTCTTCTAAAAATATGTGTCACTCTCCTAGGTTGGCAGCAGCACCATAATCCAGGCAGTTATCATTGACTGGGGCAAACAGCGAGGTTCATAGAACACTATGACAGAGTTCTCTTGAGGTTTAATAGAAGGTAAACACCATGTAGCACACTGTCACATTAAGTGCAAGACCTTGAGAACTAAACATTCCTGAAAATCCAACAGGAAATGTACATATGTAAACATTTAGCACAGTAGTACATGGAAATGGCTTAATCAATGTGAGTTGTTATTACTAATAGTTTAGTATTAGTGTATGTAGGGAAGAAAAATATTGAACTGGTAATCAGAGAACCTGAGATTTAGTCCTGGAATTGTGCTAGCCAATAAATAACTAATTAGTTGAATAACCTTTGGGTTGTAAAATTGCTCTGGTCTTAGGTATCCTCAATTAAAAAACAAAATGAAGAAGGTGAGATAATCTCTAAGTTCCAAAAATCTATAACTCCGTGATGAGTTTGGTTTCAAGCCTTATCAGCAGAGCAAAGAATGCTACACTGACAGAAATTTAAATGTCAGAACCAACTGGGAAAGTCTATATGTAGGAAATGTGCAATTAAAGTGTACAAATTACCAATGTCTACTATGAATCTTACTTACTTTTCTTGTTGCTGAGACAAAATACCTGACACCCAAAGTTAAAGGGGGAGGAGGCTGGGGATTTAGCTCAGCGGCACAGTGCCTGCCTGGCGAGCGTGACGTTGTGAGTTCGCTTCCTGGTACCGGAAAACAAACAAACAAACAAACAAAAAAACAAAGTTAAGGGGGAAGGGTTTATTTCAGCTCACAGTTAATAAAAGTTTCACTCCATAGTCAGCTGGCTTCGAGGTAGGGGCAGGGGGCATGAAAGGAGGGCATCACAGAGGAGAAATAGTCCATGGCAAGCAGACAGGAGACAGTGAAGCGGGATAGGATTATTATTTTGTGGCTACAACAGCCCATGTATAGAATCTTTAGTTGTTTGTTCTATTTTTTAAAAACCCAAAGCAAAAAACTCAGCAGGAACTTAGGTGACTTAATCAAATGGATGTCTATTAAGGAAAATAATTTTAGTCTAGAAGTACTTTAAATATATTTTGAGCACTTTTTTTTTTTTTGCTTATAGTGTACTTTAATTTCCAACACACATTCACTCAATGACAGACTAAAATGTACATTCTTTTATGATAGGCCAGAACATCTGTTATACTAACAATACAAAAAGAAAACAGATACAAAGTAGTGTTAAGGGACTTCCTTACTTAAAACTACCAAACTAAGTATATGCATAGATACTTAAATTCTTTTATTTCCACTGTATCCTTTGGCTGAATTTTATTAATATAGTATCTGCCCTTCTTAATCCTTCTCTTTTGAAAGGCATCATTACCCTGTCACTCAAACCAAACCTCCTCCTCGACCACCCTCCACCTCTACTGAAGAACTGCTAACAAGACATCTTTCTGTATTGCTCTGGAATTAATCTCTTCTTCATTAGTGTTCCCTTTTGCAATTCCATTTCTTCATAGGTGTGGCCTGTGAGATTTTAACTGCTCTGTTCCGGTTTTTTCTTCTCTAGTCAGTGGCGACAGCTCCACATCTGTTTGCTTTGGTAGTTCCTGTATCATGGTCATAGTCTTATTCAAAGTAGTACAAATGCGGCTCTTAGTCTCTGCTCAATAGCAACAGGTTTAAAACGTGCATACAAAGACTGGTATCGAGACTTTATTGCTGACAATTCCTTTAAGAGTGTAACTGGATTTTTCTCTCCTGTTGAATCAAGATGATTAGTCTTGACTTCATATTCCAGCCTGTACTGAATGTAATCCAGATCAGAGACAGCTTTCTGGAACATCGGTTCCAGCTTTTTGACCTCTGCCTCGATGTTGAACAGTTAACATTCCTCAGACCCCTGTGGTGCTTAAACTGGAAACCTTTTGAGTAGATTTTCTAAACTTTATTTTTACTACCAAAACAAAACAAAACACCCAAATGTATCTAAGCCAGCTCGACTCGAAGCCAGCTGACTATGGAGTATTCCAGTACTTGAGAACATGATCCTACTTGGAAATACTCTTAGTAGATGAAAGTTAAGGATCTCAAGATGAAACCACTGCAATCTAGGGCAGGCCCTACACTCTATGCTTTGTATCTTTATAATAGAAAGAGGAGAGAGATTATACACAGAATTATTGGGAAAAAGTGCATGTGAAGACAGAAGCAGAGACTGGGGTTGTCTGGTCCCTGGGTCCTTCCTCTCTGGTCCTTCCCCTGCTGTTTCTTGCAGGCGATGAGTTAAGGGGTTTCCTTTACTATGCCCTTCCAAAATGATGTTTCTGCCTTGGAGTCAGTCCATATGGGATGAAACCATGAGCCAAAATATACGTTTTCCTCCTTTAAATTGTGTATGTCAGGAGTTTTGTCCCAGCAACAGAAAAGCTGACTAATGTTATACTCAAGTGGAAGGGATTACACCAAGGCCTGAATGCTATAGAGAGCCCTTCCCAGTCCTCGTGGAGGCCCAAGAAGTTTACATTTATAATCCCATGAAAAGTTATTGGAATTCTAGTGAGTTAATTCCAATCTACCACTTCCAGTGCAGCCCATGGTAAGAATAAAAACACCTTTGTAGTTATGGGGAGCCAAGGGGTCCTAAGTCCAGCCATGATGATGGCTATCGACAACAAAGGCCTCTTCCGAGGGCCGAACCCAGGTTTTATTACTTTGTGAAGAAAGGTGTGGCTTGAGGACGAGTTACTGTGAGAATAGCAGGAAGCAAGTGAGTGCTGTGAGCTGGGCTAGGTAGGAGGCCCCAAGTCCCCTCTGTAATATACAGAGAGAAGGATCTGCAGAAAGAGTAATCTGCATGATACAATTGAGATAGTAGCTAATGTTTTGGGGTCAGTGCTTTAGCTCTGATGTGTAATCTTTGAAGCCCAGGAAGCAATAGCCTCTATCTAGAAGCTCTATCCCAACCGACAGCATGGAGCATTGGAGCTTCATCCCACCTCATCCAGGCTCATCCCTGGGAACAATGAGGGGTCTGAGGAAACACGCCTGCCATCTTCAAAGACTACCATCAGCACCTCAACAAGACCAATATGCATTGCTTAAAGCCAATTGAAGAGAAAAGCAAAGTCCTAGCCAGCTCTGTACACATCAATACTAGCAAAGAGGGTCAGGTTCAGCCAAAATGGAGACAATTGCTCCTCCTCCAAGGAGAGCTGCTCAGGTGGTCTTCCACCTGTCTTACCACCAAGTGGGGATCCCCGGGTCATCTTAGAATCATCTACCAAATTTTCCATTTACTTTTCTGTACCACTATCGTCATCATTTTGTCTTAGGTACTATACATTTGGAGTCCCACATAACCAAAATGTTACCAGCCCCTTAAGTTCATACCCTTAGATTCATCTGCTTGCCACTGACCAAGTCAAAGGAGGCCTTATACTTTTGTGAAAAGAAAAAAAGATTTTTTCAAAGCTAGCTCCAAGGAGATAGAAGGTCCCATTTGCCTCAGATCACCATCTCACCATGTACAGATGGGCCAGAGTCTTTTATAGTAAGGAAAAGTGGGGAAGGCACACAGAGGCAATGTAGATCTCCACACCTGCTTTATCACTCCCAGCTATGGTCAACCCTTTCTCCTCTTTCTTATGGAAAAGAAACCAGGTTCCCCCCTGGGGCTGGTGGTATCTGCATATTCAGTCACTTTTTGGGGGCTGAGCAGAGGAGGTAGTACTGGCTATGTGCTCAGCCTGAAGAAGTCTGGAGAACTTATTTATCTCTAGAAGAAAAAAAAAATCTAACCTTTTAAAGTTTCATATTGCAGGACCAGTTACAATACCATGATTTAAATTTTATTTCTCGCCAAATACTGTATGAAGAAGGTTCAAAGAGAATCTGTGGGGAATCACTCGAACTGCTTCAAAGCTCAGGGCTGTCTAAGGACACCTGAGAACAGGACCCTGCCTGTCTAGCGCAGGTGCACAGTGGGATACAGTTATGTAACCATGACTTAGCACAGGTAAACAGGAATGCGCTGATTACGGCCCTCTGTAAGAATGTAAATATGAGATAACAACTTGTGTAAGAATTATACAATAAATCCATAGGCTGCTCTTGCTCTTGCTGTTTTTTGGGCTCACTGCTCTGCTCCACGCTGCCTGCTGTTGTTGCCAATGTTTTACACAAGTGCTTCCCCCCCCCCCACAAGTGCTTTCTTTAACCTTTGGACCACGCCTGTGAAAATCTCTCTTGGGCTCGTGAGCTGCTGGCAGAATCAGTAATTATTCCAAGATTCTACAGCTAATAAAGAGTGGAAGCAAAACTTGAACCTAGGTCTTTTATTAAACCAGATTGGTCTTACTTACTTTTTTTTTTTTTTTTTTTTAACTTATTTTGTACTTTTTAAACTGAGAAAATAAGCTTTGGGTCTTCACAATTTAAAAAAGAGTACCTCCCGATTGTCATTTTCCATCACATTCCAATTTTCTCACAAGTTGCCACCGTGAGAGACGGGTGGTTACTAACTTTTAACAGGTAAGCAGAAACAAGATTAGGTCATCGAGCAATGGCGAAACTTTGCTTTTAAGCGGGCAGATTTCTTTTTTTTAAACGAGGCCTCCCTTATGCGCAAGGCACGTTGGGAGTTGTAGTCTTTAGACGGCGGCGCCCACTCAGAGGGACCCAATCATCAGCGAGCCAGCTGCTCCCCACGCAGTGATTGGCTTGAAGTCAGTTGCGGCCCGCCCCGCGGCGCCATCGCGCTGTCTCTAGTGGAAGCGGCCCTGGGGAGTGTGCGGTTTGCCGGTGCAGCTCAGTCCAGTCCCTGATACTTCGGTGTGGCCATGGCCGAACCTCAGCCCGCGAGCTGCGGCCTTACTGACGAGGCCGCATTCAGTTGCTGCTCCGACGCAGACCCCAGCACCAAGGTGGGTGCTGGGCGTTCCCCCGCGTGGCCTTTTCGGGGAGCAGATCCTGGGGCTCAGCGTCGGCCGGGCTGGCGGGGCGGGATTCGAGCCCTGTCCCGGCCATCGGTGCAGGCCGGCCGGCGTTGGGAGCTTTGGGGTGGATTGGACAGAAGTGAGCTCAAGTCCAGCCTGAGCTGCACAGCGAAACGCTGTCTCAAAAAGACCAAAAAAAAGAGAAGGGTAATGAAGTTCAGTGGGGGCAACCACAGGGACCTGCAGAGAATGTTTTTCAGATTGTTTCAAAAAGACTGAGGCCCAGCTTCCAGTCACTTGTTTATTTTGGGGAGGTATCTGGAAGCCAGGCCAAACCAGGGTCAGATTCCTTGTCTGTGGGTATGCGTGTTTCCCCAGCTCGATCGCTTTGGCCGATGAGGAGAGCAATTAATTGCAGGACTCCCCACCCTTAAGTTCAAAGGGCCCTGATTCTGCAGGGCCGCTGCTAGCCACGACCAGCAGCTCAACTCCAACTACTGGGATCGCCCCTTTGCCTGGCTTTGGCTGTTGATTACAACCACACCTTGGTGAAGTGTGGTGGCCCGCAGGGGACAGACCGTGGAGTTTAGACACAGACTCCCTGTCTGAACCGGTCGTTTTAATAGTTGTGACTCAGTAAGAGGAGTGAACTGGAAGAGAGGGATGGTTGCCGTTTGGGGAGTGTTCTCTGTGGCTTGTTTTAATCTGAGTTCAGACAGACATATTACATGGAAGTGGTCTTGCTGCTTTATAGATTTTTTTTTACTTAGAAATTTTTGAAAAAGCATAAGACCAAAAAGAAAAAAAAAGAAAACACCAAAACAAAACGGTGGTTTCAATTCATTGCAGGCACAGAGTGACTTTGTAGGTATTTTTTCTGACCGTGTTCACCAGGGGAGAACCAAACCGTAGCTCTGAACGCTAGGCCAGTGCACATTTATCACGAGGTAATTTCTCTTTCTCACATGCTTATTAAAACTGAGGCCACTAGGGGGGCAATCCAGGCTGAGGACAGCGACCCAAATATTCTGAAAGCATAGGCTGTCAGAGCCAACTGCCTTCTGTGTGATAATGAGGTATAATAGAGGGTTTTAAAAATTTGTTTGTTTCTGTTTTGAGACAGGGTCTCACTATGTAGTACAGGCTGGGCTTCAACTTGCTATGTAGACCCAGCTGGCCTTAAACTCACAATCCTGCTTTAGCCTTCCAAGCGTGGGTCACCACACTTGGCTAAGATATAGTAGTTTTTAAAGTTAGTTTTGTTTTGAATGAGAATTTAATGCTTTAAAATTAACAAAATAGAAGAATATCATTTCCCTACAATACAGAATGAATAAACTATTTGTATGATGTAAGTTGCAGGGGAAAGGTAGCTATGCAGCTGCTAAAGGAGTGGTTGAATTTTCAGGCCTGTTCTGTCAAGTCCATGGGTACAACAGCAAAACTATTGAGCACTGCTGAGGTTAAGGCTCTGGAGCTAAAGCTGCCTATGGTTAAAGTACCTTCTGTGGCCTGAATGTAGAATCAGGTGGCTTGGACAATGTAATTACTTGGTGTCTGCTTCTCATCTACAGAGTATTAATTAATATTAATATTAATACTTACAGATAGGAATACATCACAGAGATTCTGTACCCCTAAGCAATGCTGATGATGATCTTAACTCCCTGAATTTATATATCCTCTACCCTTTTATCCTTCAAACCTTCTGTTTTCTGATGTGGAAATTGAAGGGTTTCTTAAAGCTGTTAAGAAACAGTACTTAATTTTTTAGTTCTTTTGGAGTCTAGGATCTTTTCAGTAATGCCTTGCTAATTCTCATGGTTACCAGTAAATATTTCAGGGAGAGGATTTACACATTCATTCAACAAATATTATAGTGGTTAAAGTTAGTATTATCATTGTGGGCAACTGGAGTTCAGTCTTGATGGGGAGTCTCTGAGGAACTATGCAGAAGGTGCTTCAGAACTATCCCACTAGGGGGCTGGGGATTTAGCTCAGCGGCACAGCACCTGCCTGGCAAGCACGAGGTTGTGAGTTCTATTCCCGAACTATCCCACTAAAGAGCGAGGAAGCTTGACTTTTTTTATGCACCATTGGTTAAGGATCACTCCTGGCATTCTTCTGTGGTTTTTTTTTTTTTTTTCTTTTTTTGAGATAAGGTCTCACTATGTATTTCAAGCTGGCCTTGAACTCACTATGCAGCCTAGGCTGGCCTTGATCTTGCAGCCATCTTCCTACCTCAGCCTCCAAGTGCTGGGATTACAGGTGTGCGTCACCGTGCTTGGCGGTTTTTGAGCTGACTCACACAAGGACCTGCAACCAGAAGATACTGGCAGAGAGCCAGGTTGTAGGTGATAGGCATGCTGGTTTTTTATGGTAGGCTGTAAGTATAGGTTTTTTTGTTTTTCCTCTTAACATTGTGTTATAATGGTGAACTCTTTGTATATTGTTAAGAACAATTAATGTTGCCAAGAAGCGACAAAAGTTGAAGGTATTTAATATATATACTGTTTGTCTTTAGGATTTTTTGTTGCAGCAGACTATGCTACGAGTTAAGGATCCTAAGAAGTCTTTGGATTTTTATACTAGAGTTCTTGGAATGACGTAAGTAAAATGCATGTTAGCACCTAATATTTAAATCAATAGCGTTGCAAATAGAGGGATTGTTTCCAGACCCATGTAAAGTTTGTTTCAAAACTAATAGAAGTTCATTTTGGCCAGGCATCTGCAAGAAGTCCTGACTAGATAAGACTTAGGTTAAGTTCCTTTATTTTGGCCAGGCTCAAATACATTTTCTTCAAATTCCCTTCTCTCTCAGAGATGCCAGCTAAATCCTTAATATATGTTCAAACCCTTTTTGATACTCTGACCAATTTTAGCCTCTTGAGTGGGTTGTTTGATTTCTTCATTGCAGGGTTTGAACCCAGGACCTTCACACTGAGCTACATTCCCAGCCATTTTTAATACTTTTTATTTGAGACAGGGTCTCACTAAATCTCTGAGTTGCCCTGCCTCATCCTCCCAGAATATTGGGATTACAGGCATATGCCACCACCTGGCTTAGCCTGTTGTTTAGTTCAGAAAATGTAAATGTAAAAACAAATTACTCAGAAAAGGAATGAGTTTACTTAAAACTGCCCGTTTCTTTTTTTTTTTAATAGGCTGTGTCCTCATTTGCTAAACAACCATTGATATTATAATCTTAAAAACACATTTTTGTTTCTTTTTTTCCCCCATCTTTATTGAAGTATAATCGACAATTTTGCTTTTCTTGATTTATTTCCCTAAATAACATGGGCTTTTGGTTTGCTTTTGATAATGTGTGTCTGTACAGAATAAATTATTTTTCACTTACTATCTAGATTGACATTGAGAGAACAATTTAATTAATATATACATGTGTGTTTAGGAAATTTGACCAGTTCAGAAAAGCACAAAAAGTGAAGTGATGGTTTTGTTCCCCATTCCAACCCTAAGATAACTGCTATTAACAGTTCCTTGTGATTCTTTGAAGAAAAGTGATTTTACATATATAGTATTTGTGACATATTTAAAGGGCAGGGTGAAAACGGATACACTGGATATCTGCTCTTTGCCAGGACTTCTTCACAGTAGGCCTTCGAGGTCGCTCGTATCCCTGTTTTATTGGCAAAGAAACCAAAGCTTAAAGACATGAAGTTACTGATCCCAAAGCCTGCAGTTGGCACGTGGCAGAACTGGGATTTGAACCCAAGTCTGATTGACACCGGTGCTCACCTTGTTTTAAAAGAATCCTAAAATAGCTTGCAACTTGCCAGTAGCCTGCAGGATCTGCTCTGCAGAGAAAAACCAGTTGCAACAGGTTCATTTGCTTTAATTCCCCTGATTGGTCAGAAAGGCTTGTACCGTCTGCTTTTAGTAGGGTGCAGCAATAGTTTTTCATAATTGGACTGTGTGAGGTTTTTGGAACTTTATTATAACATGTTGTGGTAAATCGGATTTGTGACGTCAGTGGCCAAGCCTTCTTGGAAGCCATGATAATTACGTAAAAGATTTGGAGCAGAGCTCTAGAAACTTTCTTTTGCTAAGCCTCAACCAATTATTTTCTCTTGTTGATTATTAATAAGGTCATCTTTGGGCATTTAATCCTCCGTAATCTTTTTAAAAATGCTATTTTATGCATTCTTAGTCTAGTTTCCTTCTTACAAAGTCTGAACTCTTTAAACTTTTTAAACTATACCTTCAGTTGTCTTTTTTAAAACCACAGGATTAGTGTTCATTCACTTTCTCATATCAGGTCTCTCCTTTCCTATTGATTCTTTCCTTTCAACCTACGAACAAGCTTAAGTCCTCTGCAGTGTCTTTTGCCCTCTGCTCCCTCACCAGTCCCCCCACTGTCACCGACCACAGGGACAGACCTCACTTGGCGCTGTTTCACTTGCTCTCCTCCCTTCTGTCTTCCCAGTCCCACTGTTGACGTCACTCTCAGAAGACCTTTCTGTAGCTCATGACCTTTTCTAGTCTATTTGTACGTCTCCCTGCCTGGAGATTCAGATGTGAATTCAGTCATTTCCACTGGCTTGAACCACCACTGTTATGTGCATGACTGTCCGTCCCATCTGGCGGCTTGTACCCCTTGCTTCTCAGGGAGTCTGATTATAAGAATGCAAAGAAAGACATTGATGTAGCAGACCAGATGTCATCACGTTATAATCCCTTAAGGAAAACATTAAAATGCCGTAAAAAATTATAATATAGCTAATTTGTGGTGTAGCAGTTGTAAATGCTTATTACATACACCAGTAATGGGGTGCTTGTAAGAGTTCCATGTTAAAATTTAGGGAATTAATTATTGATAAACTGTTCACCGATATAAATCGATTTCTTTTAATTTGGTGAAATAAATAAATTTGTTGATTATTGTAATAATTTTTGGTTGGTATGAATAGTATTAATATTTATATTTGGAGAGTAATTATTCAAATTTAAACAATTAACTAGATTCATTCTGTTTATAGACTTTTCATTAATTTTATTAGTAAGAAGACTAATAAAAGATCCGTTTGTATCACCAGTGGTAAAAGCTGTGTAGTGGGACAGTCATGAGGGTACTACCCGTGGTTCCAGCCAGCAGGAATGTGTTGATCCTGTTTTACCTTTCCGTGGTATCTGATCCTATTAACCACCCATTGTTGACAGTTACATCTTCTGTGATATTAATCCATCCTTCCTTCTCTCTTACATCTACCCTCAGTTTCCTTTCCTAGAAGTTTTGGCATAGTAAGAACTCAGTAAATGCACTTACAGTATTTAACTGAGTGGAATATATCTGAAAGAGCAGGATAATAAATACTGTTCTCTAAAACCTAAAATTCTATGTTGGAGATCCTTTTTCTGTTTATAAGCAAGTATATTTCTGGTTAAATTTTATTAAACTTGAAGAATTGATGAGTTACAAGTTTGCTTTTCACTGATATCTGTAGATGAATAGACATTTTAAAATGAGATCATTTTCATTGATGTTTCTCTTGCTTTTCCTATTAAAATAGCTTCACTGGGAAAAAAAATAGCTTCACTGTATATAGCTTTTGTTCATAGGACTTAAATAGTATTATGTTGATTTTATTATGAGTTCCTGTTAATGATTTAAGCTTGTGATTTTTTAAATTTTCAGGCTACTCGAAAAATTCGATTTTCCTGCTATGAAATTTTCACTCTATTTCTTGGCTTATGAAGATAAAAGTGATATCCCCAAAGACAAAAAAGAAAAAATAGCATGGGCCTTCTCCAGGAAAGCTACGCTTGAGTTGACGCAGTGAGTATGAGTTTTTATCAATTATGGGTTAAGGTTTTTTTTATTGTGTTTTGGTTTGGGTTTTTATTTTTTCTTAACAATTTATTTAAATCATCAAACTATTTTGTAATTAACCTTCAAATTTTAAGGCACTATTATAATCTCAACATTAAAAAATGTAGAAATAGGGGCTGGGGATTTAGCTCAGCGGCAAAGCGCCTGCCTGGCAAGCGCAAGGTCGTGAGTTCGGTTCCTGGTACCGGAGAAAAACCAAAAAACCAAAAAAAAAAAAAAAAAAAAAGTAGAAATAAGCATTGCCTTTTTTAAAGTTTTTTATTTTTATTTTTCGTAATACTAGGAATTGAACTCAGGACTTTCACGCTGAGTTGTATCCCCAGCCCTTATTTTATATTTTTGTTTTGAGATAGGGTCTTGCTAAATTGCCCATGCTGGGCTCAAACTTGTGATCCTTCTTCCTCAGCCCTGCAGAGTGTCATTTAGATGTGTGATTTAGTGGGTAGCCCTTGATTCAAACAAAGCTTCGGACAGACCTAGACATGGGTCGTAGGTCTGACCTCAGTCTGTGACTCAGAACAAATTATATTACCTCTTTAGGTGGTCGTCTCATCTATAAAATAATTTGGAAGTATTCAGAGCTATCCCATGGAGCTGTTTTGAGGGTTTAATGAAATACGAAGTACTTAACACAATAAATGGTAGTTGCTGTTAAGAACAGTGCAGTTGGTCCCATATTGAACTCAGTTTGGAAGAGGACAGTCTGGTTTCAAAATGGTGGTAAAGTGGTCCCCCCTCCCTCTTAGTCCAACTCTGGCTGTCGCCGCTGGGGGGAGGAGGGCCACGATCCCAAGGAACCAGGGCAGTTGAGGAAGCTGTTTATTGGTGTTCTGAGCTTTGAAACTACACATGATAATTTGAGAATATTTTGAGAAATGGGGCACACTCACAGATTGTGTGATAACGAGAGATCCCCAAACAACGCTCCAGGGGCTTCAGTTTTATGACGTACTGTTGTGTTGAAGAGGTGGAGGGAGCAGTGTGTGCTGGACCACATACAGCTGATGGGCTGTAGTGGTACCATAGAGAGCTGTTTCTAGAGAGGATTCAGTAAAGGCAACAGTGAAGAGAATTTTTGTCGGTGGTTTTAAAGAAGATACGGAAGAATATAATTTGAGAGACTACTCTGAAAAGTATAGCAAGATTGAAACCGTAGAAGTTATGGAAGACAGGCAGAGGGGGAAAAAGAGGATTTGCTTTTGTTACTTTTGATGGTCACAATACAGTTGATAAAATTGGTCAGAATTACCACACTGTTAATGGGCGTAATTGTGACGTGAAAAAGGCTCTGTCTAAACAAGAGATGCAGTCTGCTGGATCACAAGGAGGTTGTGGAGGTGGATCTGGCAACTTGATGGGTCATGGAGGAAACTTTGGAGGTGGTGGAGGGAATTTTGGATATGGTGGAAACTTTAGTGGAAGAGGAGGCTATGGTGGCAGAGGAGATGGCCGCATAGGTAGTTATGGAGGAGGTGATGGTGGATATAATGGATTTGGGGGTGATGGTGGAAACTATGGTGGTGGCCCTGGTTACAGCAGTAGAGGAGGGTATGGTGGTAGTGGAGCAGGATATGGAAACCAAGGTGGTAGATATGGCGGTGGAAGAGGAGGATATGATGGTTGCAACAAGGAGATTTTGGTGGTGGGAACTATGGTGGTGGTGGGAACTATAACGATTTTGGAAATTATAGTGGACAGCAGCAATCAAATTATGGACCCATGAAGGGAGGCAGTTCTGGTGGAAGAACCTTTGGCAGTCCCTATGGTGGCGGTTATGGATCTGGTGGTGGAAGTGGTGGATATGATAGCAGCTTTTAAAAAAATAACAGGAAAGGGCTGCAGTTCTTAGCAGGGAAGAGAGTGAGAAATTGTCAGGAAAGCAGCAGGTTACTTTGAGACAGTCGTCCCAAATACATTAAAATCTGTGACAAAAGAAAGGATGATCCATACTCAGAAGAGTTACTGCAGCTTAAATAGGAAGCCCTTCTTCTGGTTTAGGATTGTCACAGCCACAGTTTGCAAAAAGTGCAACTATTGATTATTGCACTGTCAATCAGCTGTACATTCCTGAGGTCTTTTATCCGTTGTAGCTTTCATTGCATCAGGTATATTGCCCTGTAAATTGTGGTAGTGGTACCAGGAATAAAAAAATAAGGAATTTTTAACTTTAAAAAAAAAAGATGCCAGGCGTGGTGGCGCACTCCTGTAACCCCAGCACTCAGGAGGCTGAGGCAGGAGGATTGTTGGAAGTTCAAGACCAGCCTGGGCTACAGAGTGAGCTCAAGGCCAGCCTAAACTGCATAGCGAGACCCTGTCTCAAAAGGACAAGACCAAAAAAAATTTTTTTTTTTTTTTAATTTTAAAGAGTAAAAGAAGGATAACATAATAATAGGGGGGAGTTAGCAAATTACAGACAAAATGGTAGGAAATTATCAATGGTTATTGTTTTACATATTGTTATCTACAAAATAGTTTCTCAGGAAAACAA